GAAGAAGAAGAAGAAGAAGAAGAAGAAGAAGAAGAAGAAGAAGAAGAAGAGATAGAAGAGGGGGAGAGGAAGAAATGGGGGCGGAAAGGTTCTTATTAATGTTGTACCCATTGTTATTGTGAAAGTGAGGATTGACATGATTTAGACCTATACTTACAATAGCTACATTTACTTCTTCATTTCTCTGTCTGTCTGGCATGATTTATACGAATGAAAAATGCTTCGATGACTCACACTTTTTTACTGTAGTTTATCAGAACTAAGTTTTACTCTTTTTACTTTTTTAAATCCTCTGCTGCCGTTAAGTCAATTAGTGTCAAGGGGAGATGCAGTTTGCTCTGGTAGGGCAGCTCCTTCAATTAACATTTCTGAGGGATTCCTTGACTCCTTCAATCCACCGATTACGAGGCCTTCTTCTTCCTTTATAGCTTGAATGCTTGTTGCTATAGGCCCTAGAGGCTGGCTGGCTAGGTGACATACGTAACAGGTGCCAAACCATTTTATTATATGTCTTTCTATGAAATGCAGGCAGGACTACGTGCCAATACAGCAGCTACTCTAACGTCTTGGATTGACATGATTTAGACCTATACTTACAATAGCTACATTTACTTCTTCATTTCTCTGCCTGTCTGACATGATTTATACGGATGAAAAAAACTTTGATAACTCATACTTTTTTACTTAGTCAGAAGTAAGTTTTCATTAGATATTATTGCAGCTAATTCAGTTGTATACCCAGAAAAAAAATAATAACCAGGGGTAAAGCAAGAGAGAAAAAACTTGACGAGCAAAAACTGATACCATTTTTTGTTAAGCAATCTCACATTTCTATTTCTATACAATAAAGTCTCAAACTCCATACTGTACACAAAATGGAAAAAGTAAAATTTGCTGCCCAGTGTTGCCTAGTCCAGTTAGTCGGTCTCATATTACATTACATGTATCTCATTTTCTCTTTTCGAACAGTTCTGAGAACTAGCATGCCTTCTTTCTTTCAATTTCCAATTACTGCCTACTACTGCTAGCAAGGTGCTGTTGGTTATAAACTTAATCCTGATGAGGTTCGAATGCAAGCGGGGTCCCAATTTTCCTCGTCTCACCTGAGACTACATCTCAGCACACAGCATCTTCGAGGAATATTCAAAAAGCTTTACTTAAGAATTAACCTTTTCTTAATTAAAACTGTAATATGACTTGGTAAATCTATTTTATTCCTTCAACCAAAGTTATCAAACAATGTTGGGGTTTTTTTTCCTTTTAAATACACGTGACATTGTCAGACAAAGAATTGAATCAGCTGCATTTTAAATAAGCTTAAGCCCTCAAACATGAAAACAATGAAGTCCTTTTTGAAACACGGTCTGTTGAAATTTTAATTCAAAACAATTAAATACACATAATCCATCATGTAGGCCTAATTGAGAACAATAATTAAAAGAAAACTTTCCAAAGTCAGACTTGAGCAGAGTTCAAAACATCCCTGCCTGCAAAGGCCATTTGAAAACTTGCCCATAAAGAACAAGGAGAGATATATATGCAACTGAGAAAAAGAAGTTTCTTACATTAATAAAAAGAAATTTAATAATAATTTAAAAAGGGGTTAACAAATTTGTCACAACGCACGTAGTTACTTTTCTACAATGCTAAGACTGTCATATCAATTAAGAAGAAGTAAAAAAAATAATTTTCATTCAAAATCTGCGTCAACATTTTAATTACACTATACCGGTGACAAGAAAAGTTAACATGTTTTTGGTCTGTAAAATGCCCCGGTCATATCTAAGTCAGAGCCCTTGTATGTTCAATTAGGAGTAAGCTTACATGAGCTGTACATCAAACTTGATCAAGTGTCAATTACATTATATTAGCCTGATCTTTAACTACTGCTTTGACAAAACTTTTGAGTGGATAACTGACTGAAACAAAAAATGCTAAACAAAAATTGAGAAAAAAGTCCATATTTTTTCTCTTCTATATATTATTATGAGAAATTCCTCCTTCTGCACTACTTACGAGGAATATTTTGTGTTCTGACAATAAAACTGTAATTCTCATTTTCTCAGTCCTTACTTTTCTATACAACTATACGTCAAAAAATGCTAATTTAAAATAATTCAATCCCAATTCAAACATTTTTTTAAAAAAGAGGCAACTAACATACATGTACAAATACTTATACAAACCGCTTTTTCAAAAAGAAAGCCAAAACAAAACAAACAATTCTAAAGGTAACAATCCAAAGGTAACAATCCAAAGGCAAAATGCCAAACGATAAATCTGTTTATAATTATGTTGGCTAAATTTAATCTCATCCACGGCGTCACTTTTCGCACAATTAATCTAAGACATTTAGTTAGTGTGACTAAGCCATCCACTGAAGCTCCCCGGCTCAGGGTCATGGGGTCATTTAGAATCAACTTTCCTGGTGTTGGTAAAACAAGTTCACATTTTTGTCTTCTTTTCAAACGATGTTATTTCTTCCTCATCCAGTACAGCAAACCATTATAAACTATACTAATGCACTAGAAGCTCAATGTCATGAAATTTATTACGGGTTGTATTTGTTAATTTCAGTGCCTTAGTTTTTGTGATACACAAGTGTTTGCAGAGTACCCAATTTGTCCTTTTTTAAATAAGATACTTATATATCCACAGTGGAGCTCGTATTCAACGAGGTCGCCGGGCCTGAATTAAAATCTCGTTGAATCCGAGAGTTCGTTATACGTTATAGCAAAGATGGGGTTTTGTGAAGATAATTACAGACATTGAGCAAGTAATCTATAAGGAGAAGTAACAAGAGTTGCTTGAAAAGCCTGCATATTATGAACTGAGCAAAAAAAATCAATCAGTTCAAGTGCACGCCTGTGTCATCTCGATTGTTTTCCAAAAAGTTGTGTAGCTGTGTAGAGCCTAGCACACGACAACGTTTTATTCCATAGACCAGTGCACAATTCATTACGTAGATCTATGTCAAAACTAGCTTATCACTGTAATAATGACCAGTTTCCCGGGGGGGGGGGGGAAATTGTGTCGCGGTTGAATCTGCGATGTGCCACGCACGGACCGCTGGTACCCCCCCTCCGACACACGGACACAGTCCCGCGTCTGCAAGCCGCCCATCAGACTCAGACACACGCTAGGCCTGCCAACGTGCGCGTGCCAACAACACGTGTGTTGGTATGGAAGAAGGCAGCTAATTGGTCGCATACAGATGCAACGGATGGTTTCAGGAAATAGATAGAAATTTCGTAGTGGGAGAAAAATGAGCTAAGCCACGTCTGCGGGGGCTATTCACCCTGGATGCGACTTCGTTGAATCCGAGCTTACTTTTTTTCCCCCTTGCCCATTTATATGAGATTGACGCCATCTGATTAGTAGAAAAAAGTGACAATGATTGTGTCCAATAGTGTATTACATGCATACTTAATATAACAATTAACTGTAATAGCGGATAGAGATTCCAGGATTATAGATGCAAGACATTGATCTGAGAGCGGTGATGATTTTAGAATTAATAGTGGGGATGAGTGATGATGAGGGATTGTGTTTAAGTAATGTTAGCGTTAGTCCTATCTTCCTCTGCTCCAATGAGTCACGAGGGACGTGGGCACCCTCTATCCTGTTCCCTACTGGAACCATCTTTACGGTCACCATGAAGTTCCGAAATGGTGGGCACAGTCTCTGCTAAGGTGACATCGTTAGTGTTGGCCTATTCTATCGGGCCAAGACAAGTGTAGAGAGGAGCTAAGTGGGAAGACAGTATAGTGGCAGGTATGTTGGGGGTATTTGTAAGCGGGTTGTAGACAGCAAGTTGGCAGATTATGATCTTTAAAATTGCAGCATTCTACTCCCTGATCCTTTGCCCCGAGTATTCTTTTCGAGTCCAATTGAGCTTGGAGAGATTCTGACACAGGATCCTCGAACCCGAATCGAGAGGGCACGATTTACACAGAATATTGTATCCCCTCGCTTCAGGGGGAGCGACCTCAAACTCCCAGATCAAGTACCCTATATCTGAATCCTCCCAGTCTCGCCCAATATTGGTAGATCTATAATTCCATTGCTAACGTTGGAAGCGATTCCTCCATTTAACAAGCCAATTTTGTGGAAATGCTGGCTGAATGTGTTTTAGTGGTTAGAAATGACTAGAGAGCAAGCGGGAGATAGAAAGAGAGAGAGAGAGAGAGAGAGAGAGAGAGAGAGAGAGAGAGAGAGAGAGAGAGAGAGAGAGAGAGAGAGTCGTGAGAGGGAAAGAGAGAGCGGGAAGGACAGTAGGGGGGGGGGGGGGTGGCGAGATAGGAAAGGCTTAGTGGCGGGCAATGAATATGACGGCGATGATTTGAAGTTATGGGGTTGGAGAAGGTAAACAGATAGGTAAACAGCCATATTGAGACAGAAGGAGATAGCGATAGAAAGTCACAGCGAAGAGTATGCGGATTGGAAAGAAGGGAATAGAGAGAGAGAGAGAGACATATACCTATCATGTATGCATATAAAGTGAGAGTTAATTATAATATGGTGAACAGGGTGCTGAGGGAATGGTATACTATAGACTTGCCATCTTTTTTCCAAAACATAAGGCGTCCATTAACTATATCTAAAGGGGTATTGAACAGTGTTATAATACAATGCCATTATATAATACTATGTAACTAAACGTGCATTACCTTTTCCTTTCGTTCAGAGTATTTGTGCTGTGCTGCAAGCAGCATATATTAAAACAATGTTCTCCCCCACCACACGAGCTATCGATGAACCCCAGATACAGCTCCTTGAAACAAGAACATGACATATAAACACGGAAATAAGGTCGCCGCTAGCACCTGGAAAATAATAGAAAAAAGTTGTTATCGATATGCATTGTGTTTTTCTTTAACTTTAAATAGAGTGCAATATCCGAGCTTGCTGATTTTAGTGTTCATTAAATCCGGGTTATTTTTTTAAATTGATTTTAAAGAAGAAGAAAAAAACCCCAGGGGATCCATCTCCTCTCGTTGAATCCGAGTTCTTGGTGAATCCAAAGTTCCACTGTATATGAATATATTAATGACTGTTTATTTAAAAATGGCTTGACAGATCTTTCTCTCTAAAATCTATTAAACTGACTACGAATATCATGTCTTTTGCTATGAGAAATCGTAAATTTGCGCAGGTAGTTAAGTCAAGTAATAGAGAAAACAGATGCGCATCTGCAATTTTTGACAAAATATGCTCAATGTTTGCTCTTTTTTTTCGTCAAATACACAAGAGAAAGGTCCTCTGCGTTTGTTCATGAATTATGCCGAGTCTGTAGCAGCCTGCACACAACTAAGAAAGATATACAGGTACAATATTTTTAAAACACAAAGCTCTGTAAATAAATGAGTAAAAAAACCACAATTGTATGTAATATAAACAGTGGAGATGAAAGCAAAGACTGTTTTTATGAAGAGCTACAGAGGGAATTGACAGGTATACCTCGTCACGACCTTATCGGTGTAAAGGGCGATCTGAATGCTAAAGTAGGAGAGGCCAAAATCAACTATGAGATAGCGATGGGACAACATGGTACAGGTACAAAAAATGAGGACGGTGGAAGACTCGTGGACTACTGCGCATTGAACAACTTGGTAATAGGCAGAACCCTCTTCCAACACCGTACAATCCAGAAACTGACCTGGAATTCTTTAAATGGCCGGGACAAGAACCAGACTGACCATCTTACGATATAAGGAATGTGGAGACGTTCCCTACAGGACTTGGAAGTTAGAAGAGGATCAGATGTCGGCAGCCATCACCATCTAGTGATGGCAAGGACAAAAATCAAGCTGAAGAAAACATTCACCAGGGAGGTGACAAGGACGCGATTTAATGTTCAAAAGTTCATTGATGGCAATGAGAGATCTGCCTTCCGACTAGAACTAAATAACCGATTTCAAGCTCTCCAAGACCTGAAAGAAACCACTCCCAATGCAAGTGAAGTCAATTCCCAATGGCAGCATATTGTTGAGGCCTACACAGAGAGCAGTAAGACATGTCTTGGTGTCAAGAAAAAGAAAGCAAACAAAGAATGGATACAGCAAGGAACATGGAATACTATTGAAGAACAGAGAGAAATAAAAAAAAAAGGCAGCTTGCAGGTATCGGCCACAGGAGCGGGAGAAGTATGAAGAGGATTACAAGGAAGCTTGCCAGAAAGTTCAAATACTGTTCAAGAAGGACGAAAGAGAATCCAAGGAAAAGTTGGCAACTGAGGCAGAGGAGGCCGCTGCTAAAGGTGAACAAGGCAACATATGCAAGATCACAAGAATAGTATGTGGCAAGTACCACTTTGGAATGATACACCAATCAAGGACAAGACTGGCAAGCAGCTGGCAATCGAGAAGGAACAGGAAGCACGCTGGACAGAAAACTTCGGGGAAGTCCTAAACCAACCTCCACCTGAGAACACCCCAGAATACAGGAAGCTATCTTGGATCTGGACATCAGCTCTGACCCATCACAGAGACACGAGATTGTAAAAGCTGAGCACTGGAGTCATTGTTAAGGTACCAAAGAAAGGAGCTCTTGGCGACTGCAACAACTGGAGAGATATCACGTTGCTATAACAGCCCAGCAAGATCCTTGCCAAGATTATTATAAATCGGAAGTCGGTTGCCGCGGACAGCTGCTAAAGAAAAGAACAGGCAAAGAAAGAAAATGCACAGATCAGATATTTGCCCCCCGCAACATAATCGAACAGCAAGGAATGGCAGAGACAACTTTATGTCAACTTCGTTGATTTTGAAAAGGCGTTCAACAGTGTCCATAGGGAAAGTCTTTGGTGCATTCTACGATCTCATGGAATCCCTTGCAAGATAGTCGAGGTCATCAAGAGCTTCCACCAAAACTTGAAGTGCGTCGTACTACTGCTTTTGAGGTAAAGACAGAAGTTAGAAAAGGATGGAACATGTCAGCAATTCTGTTCAGCTTTGCCATTGACTGGGTAATGAGGAAAACAACAGAGGATACATCAAGAGGCATAAGGTGGACCCTCTTCTCCACTCTCGAGGATCTTGATTTTGCTGATGACCTTGCACTACTCTCCCATAGCAACCAGTACATGCAGGTAAAAACAAACCGATTCCACAAATACGGACGCCAGGTTGGGTTACGAATAAGTCAAAACAAGACAGAAGTGATGAAACTGAATGTAGGCTCCCAAACGCTGATTAAGGTGAACAACGCAGACCTGCCTTTAACAGACAAATTTACCTACCTAAGCAGCATAAAACTGACGGCGGCACAAAGGAAGACATCATGAACAGACGCGGCAAGGCAAGATCAGTACACAGTAGCATGATCTACATCTGGAAGTCAGGACATTTCAGTATACAAACCAAGTTAAAGCTTTATAACAACTGTGTACTATCCATACTCCTATATATATATGGACCTGAATGCTGGAGGATGACTGATCATGATCGTGCCAAGCTATCTTCTTCTCATTCAACTTACGCCAAATCCTCCAAATCTTCTGGCCCGATAAGGTTTTCAACGCAGATCTTTAACGGAAATGTAGGCAAGAGGAAATGACCACTATAATAACAAGGAGAAGATGGAGATGGATTGGACATGTTCTGTGAAGAGAACCTGACTCTATTGTAAAGATTGCCCTCCACTGGACACCCGAAGGTCATCGCAAGAGGGAAAGACCCACAGTGACCTGGAGACGCACAGTAGAGTCTGAAATGACTCGTGGGGGACGTTGACCAACATGGCCCAAAACAGAGAGAGTTGAAGATCCTTTGTTGCTGCCCTAAACGCCAGATGGCGTAACGAGCAGTAAGTAAGTATAAACAATGGCAGCTAATATACTCACTCTCAGTTTTTGTGTCGGAAATATGTGAGGACACTTATGAATGTAAAGAAATCAGAATGTGGCCAGTCTTTACACGTAGTCGAAAGGTAAATAAAAGCTGGGAAAGTCTGAGGCTGATTCAGTGTCATTGACAAATTAAACATTCTGAAAATCCAGTTACTACAAGCTATCCCTGTTCTTCAGTCAACTTACATAACGTTAGCGTTTAAAGACATATCTGGAGTGCAATAGGTGCTGTTCGAATATTGCGTTGTAGATACATTATGGCAATAAAATCGATTTGTACCTCTGAGTAGGAAGATCACAGCGTAAATTTACTAACCTTTCATGAAAATAAGCGGATATTCACGATTGTATTAGAAGCATAACGATATGTGTGAAGGAACTGCTTCTCAGTGCATTAATGCCAGATGGATAAAAGTGCAAAAATACAGCTTTCTACTATCTGCGCAGATATGACATTTTGGAGAAATTTTGGAGTTCAACCATTTTTGTCAAGCCACATTTTAACTTTTTTCATTAACACTGGTCCAAAAAAATTCTCAAATTAGCATTGACGACTTCAGCACATCTAACGAAATAACCAAACAAGTTACAATGCCCGTTCTTTTTTTAGTCTCAAGAGCAAAAACGCATGCTTTGAGCGCATTAAATGATTATTACCATAAGTAGAAGAATACACCTGAAAAGTACCAAAAATTAAGTCAGCCCTGCCAGAGCGGTGATAGGGAACTGACACCCGTGACCCTGACGTGATAAGGAGCCTGGCGGGAAATTCCCCACTGCAATTAAAATTCCACTACTTTTGCTCCATGCATCAAGCAAGAACTGAAATAGATTCAACAGTATATCTCAAAACAAAGAAAACATTGGCTTATCCATAGATTCTTCATTCCCTTTATCAGTATCAGTACCAAATCCAAACTTCATAAACATTTCTGTGCTCTTTTCCACATTCTCTTCGCCAAAACTAATTAAGGTACCAGGATTACTCTTTTCCTCAGGGTCCTGAATCGGCTCAAAATCGAAAGAAAACCCACTCTGGGCATTCTCCGAATCTTGGCTTTTGCGAAACAGACTAAACATCCCCTCTGGTTCTTGTATCTTACCTGTAGGAGGACTATCCACCTCAAAATTTCCAAATATAAACATAGACCCATCTGATGGTTCATCGTCTCCATCACATCCATCGGCCTGGCTTGGTGTATTGTTTGCTGATTTTATTAAACTGAGGATACTGAAAGGACTGCCGCCACTCTTTTCCATATCAATGGTACCAGTGGTGCCTGTGTCAAAATTTTTGAAAAGTGAATCAAACTTGAATGTTTGCATGGCTTCAGAAGAGGTGCAATCATCCAATTTTGGGTTACTGCTTTTGGCTTCCTTGTTCCTTTCAGGTAATGTAGCCGCCCCTGATAGACAAAAGAAAGGTACATGTAGGCCTATGTATCATGGAAAACAAAAATACTAAACAAAAACAGGGGGATAATTTTGGGGGGGACTCGAGTGATGATTCATTTCAAACTAGAATTCATTTTACAAAGATTTTTCACCAGAGACTTTCCCTATTTCTTTCTGAAGTGGAAGTATAAGGATTACTATGAAACAAAATATAATAAAACAAACTATCAACTATGTACTAAATTAAACTCATTTTTACAAATCACGGTACACCAGCAATGGAACTTTAGTCATACAGTAGAGACGGAGTTAAAACAAAGATTCTCTACCAAGGTGGGTGGGAGAGAAGGAAGAAAAGAAAACTGAAAATGAACAAACAAAAATGATGAAAATTATATAATGATTTTAAGCGGCAAGATGTCCACTGATCGAACTCATGTAGTTTGCTGTCCAGTCATATCATATTGCAACTATGGTTATAGTGTCGTAGTTAGTCTAGCTCGTCGTCCCTGGTCGACATCATTAAAAAAATAATATTAATTACAGAATACCAGAAAAATAATGACATTACGGGCTAGGAGAGTAAATTTCTTTGTCCAACTTAAGGAGTGAATTGAATATTTTGTGGCGACACAATGCAGTCTTTCTTTACAATTTCTTCAAGACTTGATGTTATGATCTTTTATAACAATGTCAGGGAGATTCAAACTGTCCTTGTCACTTCTAAGCGATATCAAAGAAAAACTAGTTGTTCCCCGTCATCTGGGTCCTTGAAATACGACAACTGGTGCTGTGTAAAGAGAGTCACATTACCTCTCTCTCTCTCGAAGGAGCGTTTTCGATATTAGTCTTGTTATAATATTGTTACATTTCTTACGTGGAAGTTTGATTCTGGCTGCATTCATCTGACCAAATTGACATTATAAAACACTGTATTATGGACCCCTGTAGTCGTGCTGGAAGAATTGTAAGTAAGGAAAGCAAAAATTTAGCTCGCCTCCGAATAGGATACATCAAACAAATCTCATGGAGACCAAGCCTTGATTCCGATTAAAACAGTATTAAATCAAGCTGCAGAAAACATGCGCTTAAACCGCACGTCTTATTTGGACATTGGCGACAGAGAAGCATATTATTATTTAATATTTTGGCCTGCTTCAACTTCAAGCGTTCCACCTCAAGAAAACAAAAGCGCTTACAGAATTAAAGTTGGAATATGGGATATGGAAAATTGGATACGGTACATGGGAAACAAGAGGTGAGAGATGGGAAACAGAAGGCGGGATTCGGAAGATGGGACTGGTCATATGTGTAGAATAATGACTGTATAGCACCGGGTCAGCCTGAAAACCGACGCAGAGAGAAAATGTCAGGAAACAATAATTCTCATTATAATAACAAACACCTCTCTCTCTCTCTCTCTCTCTCTCTCTCTCTCTCTCTGCCCTTTTGATATCTGTGAAGTGAAGAGCGAAACAGTCCGCCATTTTTATCTTGAGAGTAGCCCACTTGGCCGTTTAGCAACAGTTTGTTCCGAAAGCATGGAAAATCACGAGTCAAGGCAAATAAACTTGGAGATCCTAGAGGAACTCAAAGCCTTTCGAAAATACATTGAGAACAACTTTTCTGAAATTAAAAATGAAATTAAGATCTTTAGAGCAAATTGGAGCGCTTCGAGATAGAAATAGCTTCAAAAAAAATTTTCAGTTTGTGAAATTAAGGAACAGCAGCACGTGCAATGTCTTGGCATAGAAGAAGTTGATTCGAAATGTGATGCACTGCTGGACAACGTTAGTAGATTGGAATGTATGTATAGTATAGGGTTTTACAGTGCTCGCAACTGCTAAGGTCATATGAGCGCACGAAACACAAGTTGTTCACCTTTGCAAAAGTTCACTCCACGACTGGTTAACTAATTTACTTTAAAATGCTAAAAAGTTAAAATATTTAAATTCAGTGTAAATACATTTGTGATTTAAAACAACTCTTTTAAGTAACAATAAACATTTTAAATAATATCAAATTCACTTTACAACTCGCCATTATGAAATTTAAAATTCTGCTGGGAACAACGACGGAAAAATATCTTGTAATTTCTTGCATTTATAGAATTTCCTTCGGATCTCTTCAAAGTCCAGACATTCGGTTAAGATGTGTCTAATGGTAAAATCTGTGTCGCATCCGACACAGAACGGCTTCTCATCTCCCTGTAGGAGGTATTTGTGTGTCAGGGCCGTGTGTCCGATGCGCAATCGAGTAAAAATGACTTCGTCTCTTCTGGAGAGGTCCGAAGGATTTCGCTGTTTTAGTTTGGGTTTTATTTCATATAGTTTATTATATTCCTGCTTTTCCCAGTGGCTCTCCCACAGACTGGAGGTGTACTTTTTGACTTTATTTCTAAAGTCAGTCTGTAGGAGAGTGTTTGTCGTTGATCCCAGCAGAAGGGATGAAGCTTTCTTTGCCAGGTCGTCTACCTGCTCGTTTCCTCGGATGCCCACATGGCTGGGTATCCATGCGAACATGGTGTTTTTTCCTGTTTCGGATAGTGTATGAATTTTCTGTTGTAGCCTAAATATTTTTGGATGTAAGAGTGTGTAGTTTGTGAGTGAGGTGATGCAAGACAGAGAGTCAAAAAGGATAAGGAAAGATTTGTTAGGAGAATTTTCAATGTCAATGGCAGTGGCCTCCGCAGTGAAAATGGAGGCTTCAGGATGGAGTCTCCTCTGGTGTGTATTGTTGGGAGATAGGGCTGCGGCGCCCACTTCATTGTCTTTTTTGGAGCCATCCGTGAAGATGAGCTCCGCACCGGGGTATTTATCTATTAGTTTTTTGTATTCTATTTTAAAAGTTTTGGTGTTTGTGCTTTCTTCGTTGTGCGTGGTCAGCTGTAAATCTACTTTTGCCTTGGTGAGGTGCCACGGAGGGAGGTCGGAGAAAAGAATTTGTTGGATGTCTTGTTTGGAAAAGTGTAAGTTTTTGAGGTCCTCAAGGATTCTGAGGCCGAAGGGTTTGATGAGTTTTTCGTTGTTTTGGAATTTGTTTATGGTTTCTGGGTTTGTTTGAAAAATGCTGTTGTGCGTTGGATTTTCCGGTGTTGAGTTCTGTTTAACTGCGTATTGTAGTGAGAGTTGTGTGCGTCTGAGTGAGAGTGGTGGTATGTTGGCCTCGGTCTGGAGGCTCTCCACCGGAGAAGTCCGGAAAGCCCCCAGAGCGAGGCGGAGTCCTTGGTTCTGTATTGGGTCTAGCATTTTTAAGATGTGTGGTTTTGCCGATCCGTAGACTTGACAGCCATAGTCAAGCCTGGACCGGACAAGGGAGATGTACAAGTGGAGAGGTGTTTTGAGTCCCCGCCCCACTCCGGATTCGATAGAATTTTCAAAGCGTTTAACGCTTTCTGGCACCTCACACGAAGGTCTTTGATGTGTGGTATGAATGTGAGTTTTTTGTCGAAAATGATGCCGAGGAAACGAGCTTGGTCCTGGACGGGAATCCTTTCCCCGTATAGTGTCAAATCCGGCCGCAGCACACGTCTGCCTGTTCGGCAGAAGTGTACTGCAACCGTCTTTGACGGGGAGAACTTGAAACCGTTATTGTTTGCCCACGTTTCGAGTGTTTGCAGCTGCCTTTCCATAGATCTCAAATGAGGATTTTTCGAACGGCAGCATATCAAAAAGTCGTCAACGTATAACGAGCTGTCTATGCTGTTTTGGAGGGTTTTCACTATGGAATTTATTTTAATTTCAAATAGGAGAGGAGAAAGAACAGTTGTAAGCCAGAACAAGACTTATACGTTACCAAGGGACTCAGAAACCCGCTGTTAGGTAGACCTGCCATTGAAGCACTTAAAGTGGTGGAAGTTGTAAATGGATTGTCAGAAGCTAAGTTTGACCCAAAACTTAAGTATGCTGGTCTTTTCCAAGGCTTAGGAAAAACAAACAATGAATATACTATTGAGTTGAAAGACAATGAAAAGCCATTTAACCTTACCTGCCCTAGAAGGCTGCCTCTTCCACTAAAAGATAAAGCTGAAGAAGAACTAAAATCTCTACAGGAACAAGGAATTATCAGACCTGTTACCAAACCTACTGATTGGTGTGCTCCAAAAACAATAAAGTAGAAGAGGAAACACTTGAAGTCAGTACAATGTTTCAGTCGATCCCCATATCAGATGAAAGACTAGAGGAAGTTCGACGTGCATGCACAGCACAGCGACAAGGAATGCTGAGAGGTGATTCAATTCACTCAGGGCCATTGGCCTCAAAGGACGAATGGAATATTAAAATTATACTATGCAGAGCGTCATTGTTTGGCGGTGGAGCAAGGGATTCTCTTGCACGGATGCAGGTTAGTCATTCCATCTTCACTGAGGCAAGACATACTCCAGAGAATCCACCAGGGGCATCAAGGTATAGTCAAGTGTAGGGCTTTAGCACGCACCTGTATTTGGTGGCCTGGGACGTCTAAGGATATTGAAACCCTAGTGAACAACTGCCCTGAGTGTGAAAAACACAGAGTATTGCCTCCTCAATCGCTAGTACCAACTCCAATTCCAGATCACCCTTGGGAAAAAGTAGGAAGTGACCTGTTTGAATGGCAGGGAGAACATTATCTGCAGGTGGTGGATTATTATTCCAGATGGATTGAGATTCCACACCTTACTTCTCTTACTTCCAAGAGTGTTATCAACAGTTTCAGGGCTATCTTTGCAGGAATGGGTTTTTCTACATACGTTTTTGTATAACTCATCCATTTTTCATCCAACCTTCATGAAATTTTCACAGAATGAAGAGAAGATGCTTTGCAAAACATTCGTCTGTTGAATTTTTTATATATAAAATAGATTTTTGTTGGTGGTGTCTGGAGTGTGGATTTTCACGGATTTTTTGCAAACTTGAATACTACCTCAGGAAAAAATTCATTAAAAATCTTCCAATTCGTTTAGGAAAATTTCAACAAACAAATTTGAAGATCTAAAAATGTGTTAACATGCATGCAAAAAAACCCAATTTATTTCCAAGGAAAGTAAAGTGCGGTATTCTTTACATAAGACATGTCAATAAAATCCAATATGGCCGCCGTAGCCACGGAAACGAAATTTGTTTCTCAAATCTGGTTTCAGATTTTAAGACATGATCCTTACTATGCTTGTTAAGTGTGAAATTAGATAAAATTTGCCCCGCTAATAAGCGAGATAGCCTTCATGTACCCCCCCCCCCCCACTCCCCCATTTAAAGTGAAACCCTGACTTACCAAAAACCTTGGGAAGATCAAAATATAGCGGTGCTGACGTTATGACAGGGGGGGGGGGGGGTGTTATAATGCTGTCCTCTTTCATAATATAGTACCGACTGCTGAATGCCAAGGGAAAGGATTCTGCTATGAATAGATTAAGGACAACGTTACAAGTTATTTTCCCTTCATCAAAAACTTGATGAGCTGACCGGGTTATGGACAGGGAGGGTGCACGTTGGCGACAAGCATTAGCTCACATTCTTGTGAAAGAGAAAGGAGATTATCACTGTGTAGCTGCTGAGTGGGTTCCATGCGACATGTGTAGTGTATACCTCCTACTGCCAGTTCACTGGCAGTGCTGTGGGGCAAATTGACATTAATTAGTTAAAGAAAATAGTTTAAATAAAAACTGTATAACTCAAGCAATTGGCAAATGGTGTTTTAAAGGGGTAAATACAACATTGGCTTGGATCTTCTGCCCGGGTCACGCGGGGTAACCGGCAACGAGAGAGCAGACAAGCTGGCTGGAGAAGCAAACGTGGGAGGGAATTTGACACCTGACCCACCAACCGTCCTAGTCCTAACCACTGTAAGGGAAAATTTGAGGAAGAATAGGGCGGATTGAGGGTAGATTGAGGGAGAAGGGGATCTAAAGAGGAGAGGGGAAGCACAGCCATCTGTGCGGACCAGTCCGACGGATCTCCAACCAGATTATGATGGAGACTATTAGTAGACAGACTCTGGGATGGATCCTGAAGAGGAGGGGAGAGCAGAGATGGACATGTTCCGACTGCGGTGACCCCAACACAGTGGAAAAGTAAGTAAGTAAATACAACATGTAGTATGTTTATAATAATATTATATCTAGGCATTCCATTTCATCCATTGGCAAAACCTGGCAGTAGATGGGGGTCAGTACTGTTTTCCTATGATTCTTTTCTATGTTCGATCAATCTCCTGAGGTGGAATTAAATGTCATCACTTCATCATATCTTTGTTTTATTATGAGAACAACAGGACGAGAGTCATCCTTAACAATACAGTGGTCCCAAGCTATGAACGGGACAGAGGTGATATTCTTTAGCCCACCGTGCAATAGACAGAGATCAAGTTTACTCAAACTGAAACCAACGAATGGGATCGTTTTTATTGACTAGATTACCTACTACAAATTTATCACTTACACTGTTCCTTTCTTTTCCAGCGATATTTTTTCCGTTCTCTTTATCTTCCTTTTTTTAGCATCTTTGTCTCACTGAGGTGACTAGACATAATAATTTGAGAAGCAAGGGTATCATAATCATAGACTGGTACATGGCGTGTACCGGGAGGGATAGTACCTCTGGTTCCCACTGGGCACGCAACTCTCACTTGCGGCTGCCCGTAGCTGTTAGCATGCGACAGTGGCCATACCACGAGCAACTGCTTCGACTGGCAGGCTAGACCTTGTGAGGGTAGCCGGCGGGTCCTTGACCCTCGGTGATTTTGCCTACCTAGCATGTGAAGATGAAGACTGGTTTCCCGACGGATGAAGCGGATGAGATCAACAGAAGATCCAATGGTTTTGAAGGCAGTACCAGCAAGAGCTGTGGAGCACATAAGAGCATGGAAGAGGCACCAAACAAGTTCTGGCCATCAACAGTAACCTGGCAGTCTTCAGACGTAACGGTTTCCGTGCTACTGGGTAAAGGCTTCCTAGGTTGAGAGAGTGGGACTGCCGCCGTGCAACGACACTTTAAACAAAGTTACGCGCAGGTTCATTCTCTAGCTCATCACCATCTTTATCATCTACACTATCACTCCAAAGCCCTGCGTCGATAGGCAAGTGGCGAAAGTTACAAGGACAGGTGAGCCCTGGCAGTTATAGTCGAACCTGCACGGCCATTGGGCAAGTGGTCGTCTGACTCCTGATCGTGGCGGCAGGATCTCTCGGCAGCACTCAGTGGCGACTGGGCAGCCTCTCAAGTACTGCACTGCCTACCCTCAAGGAGGCAGGTTCTAGAAACGGAGATCCAAACAAATGCCTGCAATTCAAAGTCTGGTCAATTTACCGCGGCTGACAGACTCACCCCTTTTGCGATCGAAAACAACAAAATAAAAGAAAAAGAAAGATAATCCTCAGATCCTGGAATGTCAGAACTCTCCTCGATAGAGATAAAAGACCAACAGACCTGAACGAAGGACAGCTCTTGTGACGAGAGAACTCCACCTCTACAACACTGACATCGCTGCACTTAGTGAGACGCGTCTTCTAGATGAAGGCTCACTAAAGTAAGGACGTGGCTACACCTATTTTTGGAAAGGAAAACCACAGACAGGGGACGGAATTCATGGAATTGGCTTGTCATCAAATCAGCTTCCTGAAGAGCCTTCCTGCTGTACCAGTCGGAATTAACAAGCGCTTAATGAAGCTCCGCGTACCTCTCAGCAAGTCTAGACTCGCCACAATCATCAGTGCTTACGTCCCCACACTCACTAGCCCGGACGACGTAAAAGGAACAATTTTACCAACAGCTAACCGAGATCACTCAATCCACTCCAAAGAACGACAAGACTGTCCTGCTAGGCAATTTCAATGCCCGCGTAGGAAAAGATAACAGCAGCTCTCAGGGCCTCATGGGGTGCGCAGAGTCAACGAAAATGGTCTCCTCCTCCTCAGCATGTGCGCTGAACATGGTCTGAGCAGCATCACAAACACCCTTTTCAGAACGGCTGAAAAGTTCAAGACTACTTGAATGCACCCCAGGTCGAATCATTGGCACATGATCGATTACATCATTGTACGCCAGAGAGACAGAAAGGATGTCCACCTGACCAGAGCCATGAGAGGGGCCAACTGCTGGACAGACCATTGATTAGTGAAAACTGTCATGGACATGCACATCCAGCCACTTCACCGAAAAAAGCCAAAGAACCCCAGTCTCGTACAACACAGCAAAGATTGAAAGCGAATTACACAGAAACAAGTTCAAAGAAGCTCTTTAAAAGATACGCAGCGAAGATCCCATCCCTATTGGTGACTTATCTGAAAAATGGACTTCCTTTAAAAGAGCTGTCAGTGAAACTGCTACTGCTATACTTGGTCCGAAAGCTAAAACACACCAAGATTGGTTCGATGAAAACAATGAGCAAATTCAATTGAGGTCCTCAACCGATCAAGCTCACAAAGCATGGAAAGCATGCTTGTCAAAACCCAACTGAGATGGGTCGGCCATGTCATCCGCATGGAAGACCACCGAATGCCAGCACAACTACTGTACGGCGAACTCGCAAAAGAGATCTCGGGAGGCCATAAAAAGTGGTTCAAAGACGCGATAAAGGAAAACCTCTCGTTTGCACAGGTTACCCTCAAAGAACTGCCATCGAAATGAACGCCTGGCGCAGGGCCGTCCGGCTTGTCAGCAGAAGCAACAATACCAACTACAGGGAGAGGCTGACTATCAAAAGAAAGAGGAGACATAATCCGACCACCCCAACTACGACATTTCAGTGCCCCCACGGGAACAGACGTTGTACATCCAGGATCGGATTGCACAGCCACATGCGTGTCCACAGAAGAGGTGCAGGATTTCATTGTCATCTTCGGTAACGAATGACTACCTACAATTGCCTTTTATATAGAATAGCACATATCTATGATATACAGAGTCACCATAGTTGGGAAAAGGAGCATATATGACATTCATCTGCAGTAGATCTCGCGCCCAGTGCCTACTTTTCATTAAATCTTTCTTTCCCGCAACAATTCTCACCATCCCATGGGGCGACAATGTGACGATGTCAAAGCCCAACTGAGATGGGTCGGCCATGTCATCCGCAAGGAAGACCCCCGAATTCCAGTACAACTGCTGTACGGCGAACTCGAAAGTGGCAAAAGAAATCTCGGGAGGCCATAAAAAGTGGTTCAAAGACGAGATAAAGGAAAACCTCCCAACTGCTTCGACTGACTGACTAGTCACTGACTGGATTTACACCAACACCAAAGCGTGTCCAACTTTCCCCCTCCCTCCTCTGCACACCTGGTATGACACATTATAAAATGTATTAACAATCCACGTTGGCCAGATGTTAATCACGTATGTCCAATTTGCCATCAATGTTTGCAGCTGTTTTGCTTCATTTACTTTTTCCCGCTTTCTTGTCTGTTAGGATTTTGTCGATGGTCGAGCCTACGTTATAGTCGAGCATATTTTTATCTATCCAAGTGCTTGCTATAAAAGAACTTTTTTTTTTACTATACATTACTAAAGATCAGACTCGGGAATTTATTATAAGCTTGTAATAGCCGGAATCCTGTTATAACACTGTAACAAGTTGTTCCACAACAGACTTCATGAAAGAATTAAAAAACCATGAAAAAACGTTTCCTACCGGGTATGTTGAATTTAAAAAAAGACTGCTTTTCCTCAGTCAAGTTGACAATATTCTCTTTTTCTATTGCAGAGCAGGGCATCTTTGAGACCTCAGATGATTGTCGGTTTCCCTGTAAGCAGACACAATAGACAGCAGACAGCATGATCACATCAAAATGAAGACCCAAGTGACACTTCAGGACCACATAGCTCTATTTCTTTGGATAACAGAAAACACAAATTGCTAGCCTTCTTGCTGAGCTATTGACATAGTGATAAGATAAGACATACCGTATTTTTTAAATCCTTTATTGGAAGAAATTGACAGTGTGCTTACACAAGTTTAGTAAAACCAAATGAAATAAAACATAAAGCATCACATCTCTCTCTCTCTCTCTCTCGCGCGCGCGCGCGCGCGCGCGCGCGCGCTCTGCCTCTCTCTTCTCTCTCTCATTTTGCAGTGCCCTTTTTCGTCTACCGTTACCTGTTCGCACAACTCTTTTACAACCAACAACTAAAGCGGTAAAGAGAGAAAACAAAGTGCTCCTCACCAACTGTGGCTTGCACCTGACATCTTAACCCTACCACAACTACAGCGGAGTCCACTTTAACGACTCCTGAAATAACGAGAAGTCTATTATCAAGACACTATTCTAAAACCGCGGTTTTTTCTTTTTTTTATCTTTGTAAATAAAATATTGCTATACCGCAATCAGACAAACACGCTAGTCCGTATTAGTGAAATATTTTTGCTACTGTGCACAGCTCATAGGCCATTTATCATATAAAACCTCGCCATTTAAGAAATTTGTTGGTAATCTACGAAACAAAGAATGGGAGAGCCCACGTGTACAACAATGAAGGCGGAGTGAATGAGCGGGGAGGGTGTGGCATGCGCAGACAAGCAGAACGTATCGCGTGATAAGCATAGACCAGCCTCGTCTACATCATCTAGGCCTACCATGCCTCTCACTTCTCTGATGCGGGGATGGAGAGTCGCAGTGCTGTGATGGATGAAGCGAATGTGTGAAGGGCGCAAGAAGACGGAACGCACTGCAGGGTGTGGTGAGGCGGACACAGTGGGCGAGTCAGCCAAGGGCCCTTTTTCTGATCGCCAAAGCCAAGCTGTCAACATCGCCCGCGCAAGAGAAAAAAATCTGATTCGGATATTGATCAAGTATGACCAACAGGTCATGTTGAACAACATCTTCACCAGGGGATAACAAAAAGAAATGAACAGAACATCAAGCTCATAGATTAGGCCTACTTTATTATTTCCCTTGGATTTATTACTGGATCCGTTATAACGAAAATCCTGCTATAACGGACATTTCGCCCCAGTCTCCTCCCTCTGGTTGTAACAGGATTCCACTGTACCAGATACACTGCGTGTGCACTAGATCTAGTTGAAGCAAAATAAAATATTCCGTGACAGTGGAACTTGGAGGTAGCATTCTTTGGCTTTTTGGAGAGCAAAGTGGCTCGCCCGGAATCAGATCTGATGCCATTTTAAAATTTAAGCAAACTTCGTTTTTGATTGTCAATTTTGAATCTGAAGTCACCCGCAACGTTGTGCATCCGGCGTCAGAGCTGCTAGGCCTAGGCCCAGGACTACATACTGCACACTTCCTGTGCCCCGGTAAAAAAACCGTTGGTGCCGGCTCCTTCCCAGAGCCGGTACTGGAGGCCTGGTGACGGTACTGACACCTCTTTTTGTAGAACCTGAGTATAAGAAAATATAGGTACCTGCCCATCCTTAGAGTGAGGATGTTGGGGGTGAAGATGAAGAGGGTGAAGACGATGCGGGTGAAGATGATGGGGGCGAAGGGGATGATTTGGGAGAGGATGACGATGATAGTTGAAAGGGTGAAGATGAAGAAGGGGTGTGGGGGGATGCTGAAAGAGGAGTGGGCGAGGGAAGAAGGGAGAAAGAGGACTACAGACTAGAGCACCCGTTTTTGGTTTTTTTTACAAAGACAGGAGCATTTACAGGAATACATTTTGTTTTTGTTTGTCTGTTTGTTTGAGGGACCTTTCGGGTTAGTTAGCAGACCCAGGGACCGTTTTTGTTACTTCGGAGTAAGTTTTAATTTGTTTCTGGATCGATCTTGTTGGATTGCTCGAGCTTGAGCGAATGTTCCGCGGTATTGAGCCCTATGTGTGAGAAAGGCTTTCTCCTGATACCACTTTGGACACTCAGTCGAAGATGCAGTGTGATCCCCCTGAGGACGGTTTGGACACCACGGATTTGAGGAGCAAGTCTCCCCAGAGTGCCATTCCTTGCCGCAGTGGGGGGAGGTAAATACTTATCATCATTGGGTGGAGGTTAAGGGGGCGAGCAAATGAGAAGTTCAAACATTTCTGTTTTTAACAGGGCAAACAGTGCTCCCGCGAAATGCAAGCACAGGTGTGGCAGTAGGCAAGTAGGACTGACACATGCCATAATCTGATAGGATAGCACTTGAGAGGCATGAAGTTTTGACCACCGCACTGCCTTCCAGACAAGTGACCCTTGATCCCACCGACAGGGCGGACCTCTGAAACCCGCCTCCTGATTTCCCTTTAAATCACCCTGTCTAAGACAGCATTTTTTCTGACTCCTTTGCAGTTTCATTTTTCACAGGGGCGACTGTACTTCGTGATCGACCCACAGGCAGAATATGTATGCCCCAAAGAGCAATGCAAGTACGCACATGTCTTAATTCGGTCATAGTTCACACAGATCCTTCTCCTTGTAACTGAACCCGAGCAAAGTATGGTCAAGCAACTCATAAAAATTAACTGGCCTGAGCTAAAATTAGTTCTTGGGTGGAATTATATTTTTAGAATGGGTTCTTAGGTATACAAATTATAGAGGTGGAGACCCTGGTACTATTTTTTATGTACAATGAAACTGTAGAGTCAAGTGCCAAAAATATAATTCTAGGACATATGCCATTCTAAAATATTATTAACAAACCTCATACTTTGCTTTTCCATCAGAAATTTGTTTTTAAAAGAAAACAAAGTCCATAAAGGAAATATCAGGCATCAAAATGTTCATATATTTTCATTGGTAATAAAAAAAATAATCTGAGAATCGATCTTACCAGAACGCCTTTAAGACTACGAGTTTCTTCTGTCCCTGAGGTTGATTTCAAAGGCCCTTCTCTGTTTTGCTCTCTGGACATTCCACCATCCCCTTGTCACATAAACAGAAAAATGTAATTAATGAAAAATGAATAAGTACAGAATAGTCATATATTCTATGGTGGGAGTTGAAGACAAGGATAACCATTATGATTAAAGAGACTTCAATGGAAAACTCGATCTTCGGTGAACGCACTCACGACAGCGGGATTCAGCTTCGGAAAGTCCCATTGAGTTTTGTTTCCGTCTCTGGCGACGGTGGGTTCAAACTGTCTGTATTTTTGTTTAATTTTGAGGGCCAACAACAAATTTCGAATTCATATTCAAAGAGCTTTGCAGGCCTTCTAAAACGGGTGCTTTCAGGCCAATATGAGACTCTTTGAGTCTCGAGATATTTCAAGTTGAAAAAATAAGCAATTTATAACCATTGATTACTCGAAATCTACTCGCCTTGTTTTTTTTAAATACCCTTGTTGATGATAAACCATTCTTTGCCCAGCCAGAAAATGTTTAAATGGTTATCTTAGAACTCTTCTCTTGCCTAGGATAATTTTACGAGATTAACAACCAAATCAGCAAAAACCCAGCTAAACACTTTCTTTTGACGTCACGCTGAGCTAAAACGTCACACATTCCTTCCCCCATGAGCTTTTGCTCCTGCTATTCATCGTTTGAAACCAATGAATCAAGGAAATAATAGATCTATGAGTCAAGACGTGGTGCAATCAGGCACTTGTCAATTTTTGGGTGTGTGCAGTTATTGGTATCATCTTAAAACTTGTTCATTTGTCTTACTTTCAGAGAATGAAATACCCATCTATCTTGAATACGAGACTTCGTAGAAGTCAAGATATTTGTGATTGAAGGAGGTAGGGGTTGCCTAGTTTTAAATTTATATTTAAGTTTAAGCGAGAAAATGGTTTGGTGACTTCATGGCTAGAGTCTTAGGAAACTGAAAATGTACCCTTTATATGACTTTAATTAACATTTATCAGTAAAATTCACACAGAAATCTGTTTTCAAATGGGTAAAACTAAAAGGCAGAAACAAGCCAGTTTCGTCAATAGATGTATTAAATATAGCCAAGATTTCAGTTTGAAAAGTTGATCTATCTTAGTGTGTTTTAACATCATGGTGTGTCTAATTTCATTTTGTTTTATAAAGAAACAGATTTAGAGAGCCAAGTATTTCCTTTTCATCGAGTCCCCCGCCGCTCAACTATGAAGATACCAAGGCAATTAATAACAAATCGAAGCAAAGCAGGCCTACTACAGTGGAGTCCACTTATAACGAGTCCGGAAAAAACGAGAAGTCTGTTATAAAGGCACTATTCAAAAACCCCGTTTTTATCACCTCTTTACCTTTGTAAATAAAATTCTGCCATAGCGTTATCAGACAAACATGCGAGCCGGTTATAGCGGAATATTGCTGCTGCTGTGCTCAGTGCATGGGCCAATTATACATAATGCAAAATCTCGCCAGTTGAGAAACGTGGTGATCTTGCGAAACAAAGAATATGACAGCATATGTTTGTCAACAATGAAGGCCGGAGCCACTGAGTGAGGATGGTGTGGCATGCGCAGACAAGCAGAACGCATCGCATGATAGGCCAGCGAAAGCCTAGTTTAGATTATCAAGGCCTACCATGCCTCTCACTTCTCCGATGCGGGGATGAAGAGGTCACAGCAATGGGATGGATGGAGCGAATGTATGACGTGCGCAAGCAGACAGAATGCACCACATGGTGGAGCGGGGTGGGGGAAAACACAGCAGGCGAGTTAGCCCAGAGCCTTTTCTTTCTGATCGCCAACGTGAGCTGTCAGTCCACATCGCTAGATCTAGCGCTAGAGAAAGAAACCTGATTCGATTTTTGATCAAGTAAGACCTAGAGGTCATGTTGAATCAAAATCATCATCAGTGTAGATACTGAGATAGCAAGAGGAAATAAACAGAACACTTAAACTCATAGATTAGGCCTACTTTACAGTTTCTCTTGAATTTATTACTGGATCCCTTATAGCGCGAATCCTGCTATAACGGACATTTTGCTCCGGTCCCCTCCCTCTCGATATGACAGGATTCCACTGTAATGCTAAACCTGCACAAAAATCAAAGTTAATTCCACTTATATAAAAGAGCCGACGTGTGTTGCTCTTGTGATGACCAAGTTTCATCTCGCGATATCTATTATAATCTATAGATATACTATCATCAATTTTTAAAATGTTATGTAGAGTCTTTTTAAATTGTTGAGGCATATAATCTACTATAATTGGGGGTTAAAAAAGCACCACTAAAGCACTCAAAACAAATTCTATCCGATCCAATCAGAACCGTTCAGTTTATACCTTCAGATCAGAGCAAAAACAAGTTAGCAGAAACTTTAATATTTCTTCCCTGCGTACCAGTACCATATTGTACCGGGGTATGTTATTTGTTGATATAATGATACTTAATGAGATGACCAACGATTTCCGTTCATTGTTTGACTCTGGCCACACTGCAAGCAGAACGGGCAGAACAGAGCGGACCTGTTTGAGGCGTTAACATTGGGTGGCCACACTGCAAGCAGAGCGGAGCGGGCAGTGCAATGCAACGTCGTGAGGCGTTATATTTTCATATAGGCATATATATATATATATGTATAGTTTCAGTAGCCTATAGATAGGAAATGATTGGCGTTATTTGTCCTGGTCCATGAGGAAAGTCAACAGAAATAGCAAGAAAGGAAAGGTCACACCTGATCAACTGACTGCAAATTCTTCCACTGGATAAGGGAATAAAAAGAGGGTATAGTGAAAGAAGGATCAGACATACAATATGAGGGAGAGTCATCTAATTTCTTTTTTAAATTTCTTATTAATTTTCTTTCATGCTTTATCCTGTTGCGGTGAAAGGGAAATAGGAATATAATAATCATAGAATCCTCAGCCCCTTTAAAAGCAAATCCAAGATAACATCTTGGTTCAGCAATATACAGAGAGTTTTAAACACGTAACTAAAAACACGTACACATACAGACAGACAGAGGACAGAGACAGACAGAGGCAGATGCAGTTGGAGAGAGAGAGAGAGGGGGGAGGAAGGAAAGAGAGAGAGAGAGAGAGAGAGAGAGAGAGAGAGAGAGAAGGAGAGAGAGAGAGAGAGACAGACAGACAAACAGACAGACAGGAAGGGACTGAGAGAGACAGTTGGAGAGAGAGAGTTAGAGATAGAGAGATAGAGATAGAGAGAGAGGGAGAGAGAGAGAGAGAGAGAGAGAGAGATGGAAAGAGTTGGCGAAGGGAATGTTAGGGCGAACGATGGGATTGGCAGGTATAAAAATTATGCAGTTAAATAACTGAGAAGAGATCATTAATCATGTAACGTCTTGTGTGGAATAAGAGTTCAGAGTGCAAATTAAATTCATAGTGTAGCGACTTGGGCCTAGTTACACAACACTGCATGCAAAAGTAGTCCAGTTAAACAAATGTTGTTTTATTAATGCCAACAGGATATTTATATATATATTTTTTTTTTTTATATATATATATAAATATATATAAATATATATATATATATATATAAATATACATTTATATATATATATAAATATATATAAATATATATATATATATAAATATACATGTATATATATATATATATATATATATATATATATATATATATATATATGTGTGTGTGTGTGTGTGTGTGTGTGTGTGTGTGTGTGTGTGTGTGTGTGTGTGTGTACAGTATATAAGTAGGCTACAGACTTCAACATAAGTTAAGGACCACCTTGACAGACACCCCTGATTTTTTTAAAATCCGCAAAAAGACAGCAAGGAATGTTTCAAAACAGTTTGCTCTGAAAGTGTTAATGGGTTGACAGTGTGTACTGCAAAAGGAACAAAACCGTGCAGCACAGAAATCCTCGGAGAACTTTAGCCAAATTTGCATTTTGTATCGACTTGTGTGCAATACCACGGACATTCCTCAGTTAAAATTGTTGGTGCACTGATAAACTGACTATGGTCTCGAACTGTGCTCACTTAGGAGGCAATATAAGCCACCGTGTGCGCAAAATCCAGTGTCGCATCAACATGCTACCAAGACGAAAGCTTAGAGACTTTGATCGTGCCAGGGCTAAGGCATGGCTGCAGGATGGAGATAGAGCCCGAGAGGTTGCCAGAAGGCTTGCAATGTCACTCTGTCATTGTCCGCCTGAGGCAGCGCCATCAAGCCACTGGATCCGTCCAAAAAAGCCCACGTGCAGGTCGACCCAAAAAGACAACCCAGAGAGAGGACCCATATGAACGCATGCAGGCCCTGCGACAGAGGACAACGACAGCCAACAGCATCAGGTATTGTCTGCTTGCTGCTACCAACACGGCGTTGAGCTCCCAGACCATTCGGCGTCTTCTGCATGCTGCCAACATTCGTGTCAGGCAGAATGCCAGTCAAGTCGTCTTGCTTGGTGCAGAGCCCATGAACCATGGACACGTGTGCGTGTGTGGCAGCGTCCACGAGAACAGTTAATGGACAGAAATGTGCAGGAAGTATCTCCTTTCAGCTGTAGTTCCATAATGGTACGGGGTCGGATTAGCACACACAATAGAACCCCCCTTTATTTTGTTGATGGTATTCTGAATGGCCAACGGTACCTGCAAGAGATTCTGCAGCCACTCGTCACAGTCACAGCGTGTCTCCAGCACATTGGTCAACATGCAATACTCCAGGACGACAACGCCACCCCACATCTTTCAGTGCAGTAAACGCGTTCATCAGGCAAGTAAGGATCACAAAAATGCCATGGCCAGCCAACAGTCCCGACTTCACCCATTGACATTGTGTGGGGAGAACTAGGCCGGAGAGTCCAGCAGCACCAGCCACCACCAGCTAACCGACAAGAGCTGCCTCAGATCCCGCAGCAGGAGTGGGCAAACCTTCCTCGGGCCTTCATTGCAACCACCACCAACACCCTGAGGCGCCGCTGCCTGGATTGCATTGCTCGGCGTGGTACACCCGTTTTTGAACGGACTGTAATGGACACTAATTCCTGGATTTTTCTTTTGAAGGGTACTGTTGTTCCTACAGACATATTGCCAAAGTTTGTGAATTGATTTGTTAAGAAATGATTCCATTAACTTTAACTATCTTTGAAATTTCCAATGTTTTGCTTTTTCGCCTACGTCTGCTGCGAGAGGGTTGTTAGCAAGTGGTCCTTAACTTATGTTGAAGTCTGTATAAGGCGCTTATAAATAAACTTTAATTTGTCTGTGCTAAGTTAAGTTCACAACCCGACGTTCTGTCAAGTCTCTACAAAAGATTGCTTTGCTTTTTGTCTACCTTTTCCAAGCTGTCACGTACATTTTTTTTCCTTTCTTGTTATTGTTATTGTCACTGAATGTCATGCAGTGAGTAAATTTCCAGCTTTTTCGAGTGTCATTAAATCGGGTTTATTCATTTTAGCTCGCAAAGCTTGAAATTTTACTCACGTTTGAACGCAGGACACGAGCACGCACTCAAGATCTATACCTATTCATTGTTCTCATAAACATTCCCTTCTTTGTGAACACTCATTCATCTCTCTCTTTCTCTCGCTCCCCCCCCCCCTCCTCCCTCTCTCTCTGTTTCTGTCTCTCTCTTTCTCACTTCCTTTCTGTCTGTCTTTCATTCTTTCTCTTTTTCTTTATATCTCTCCCTTGTACCCTTTCAACCCGGGTTGTCCCTGGCAAATAGAGTCGGAAGCCCACCTCCTGAATAATATATTTTGTAAACATTCTTCTTCTTCTTCTCTCTCTCTCTCTCCCTCCCTCCCCCCTTGTTCCCCTCCCCCCTCTCTTTGATTTTTATCTATTTCTTTTATTGACACTTAACAACGTGCGTGCAGACATCATCGGTAATAAATAAACCGCCATCTTTGCGCTTGACCCGCCTCGAGTCCCACCGCCAGCCACCTCTTTGGCTTTGTATTAATTTCCATTGCTCTGCCTACTCTGCCCGTTTTGCTTGCAGGGTGACCGGAGCCTTACGAGTTCGCAAAATTATTAATACAATGTAGTGGAGTAGGAATCCAGGAAAGCCTTGGTGACAAGCTCTTTCTTAAATGACCTACAGTACGTAGGCCTACCTTGTATTTAATGAAGTAGGCTATTTACCTAAAACCCAAATTCACTCTTTGGAGTCTGAGATTAAGACAACAGAGGTAAAAGAAAAGAACTTTTTTCGGGCGCATTGCAGTTCGCCTCCCATTACGTCACAGTCAGTCCTACCTGTGGAAAGTCTGATCCTTAACTCGCCCCCCTTTTGTAATCCAATAGTTTAAAATGGCAGAAGTAGGGTACTGAAACTGGAAAAATGATCATTCACTTCTCAGAGCATTGCCTGCGTGTGTGTGTGTGTTCTTTTGAAGTAGACAAGGTTATAGTTATCCCTGCTCACTATAAGGAGATAGGAATAGGACTGCATAGAGGGTTTTATAGTATAATCATTTTATGTTGGATATTTATCAATCAAATCAATGATTAAAATGGGATAAAAATCGGTGAGAGCTGAGATAAAACAATTTTAAGAGCAATTTAACATCCATTCTCTTGACGAACTGTTCAGCGGTAAATTCCTTCAGCGCAAATTCGTCTTTCAGACCGCCCCAGTGTTGTTTCAGTATGTTTCTATTTCTCTGTTGAGCACACTGGCCAGTCTCAACTGCATTGATTATAACGTGTTATTTGCTGGTGGTCACTGAGTTTCCAAATGAAAAGGGAAATGTTTGGTGACGCGCACCTAAAGTGTTGTCCTGCGCATTGGTATATTAATAAATGAGCTTGAATTTTTTAATGCTGACAGACGAAAGTGAACAAGCTATAGATTCAAAAGCATTACAAACTTGTTGATTGTTTGTCTGATCGCCACACCCACAACGCAGGTGTACACAATACACAAGACATCAGTGAATGATAACCCGCCCAAAACTTCATTCAAGTGTACACACACACACACACACACACACACACACACACACACACACACACACACACACACACACAACTACAACAATCTGTCTTAGCCCAGTGACATCATAACAATAAGGTAAGCTTCATTTTTTTTAAAACAATGGGTATATGTGTGTGTGGGTGGGTGTGTATGTGTGTCTTCACGATCGCTTCTAGGACGAATTAATATGTGGGGGGTGGTTTGGACTTATGTGTGTGTCGGGGTGTGCGTGTAAGGGAAGGGGGGGGGCTGCTCAGTCTATGCCATGGTTTGGAGTAGAGAGAATGTCTGGACAAGGCTTACGTCACACAATGCGTGAGAATGCAGAGAAGTTACAATAGCAGGGAAAACTCGATTTCTGTGACGAGACTCATTTAGCCATATCGATACTGACGGGAAGTGTGTGTGTGTGTGTGGGGGGGGGGGGGTCGCGTTCATGATCAGCTTCTCAAAGTGGTGACGTATTTTATGAACTGGGGGCGTATTCAAGAACCCCCTTTCTACTTTTTTTCCAGGCAATGACATTATTTGTTCACAATTACTATTTACTGACAACTTCATCAGCTTATCAAAGTAGTTTAGAGTATACAATGAGCTAACAAATTTAAAAAAGGAAACAGTCATTCAAAAGTTAAACACCTGTAATGATTTTAAGTTTTTTTAAATGTCTTGTCTAGCTGCATGGAAACGCCCCAATCTCTCGACTTTCAGTCTTCTGAATGACAGAATAGCCTGATCTTTAGCTCTGGCGGCAACCTAATTCCCAATTTTGATAAAAGATAAAACTCCTGGGACAGCAGTATTGTCCCCGCTCGCATTAAAAGAGATAAAATAAAAAAATCCACCACAAAAAATATGGGCAACAACAACAATCAGGGGGTGAAATGAGAATGCAAAAAAAGTAAAAATGAGCCGGATTGAGATTTCAATGGAAGGCATCATCACGAAAAAAGACTGTAACTCCAGTATCACAATCACTGTTATTACCGTTACAGGTACTGTGCGTAAAATACGCTGTAAATATAGTCACTGCCACTTCTAATACTAAATGTGGAAGTTTCGGTATCGCTTGCTTCCGAGCCTATGGTGACGTCAAAGCGTGCAGGGAAGGCAGTGCCTTGCCCCTCCCATATTTCGCACACGGTGTATTGGGCAATGTAATTCGTGGAGGGATCCGAAGTTTGGCTATGTGTGTAGGGGAAGCACAAGATAAGGGAATGCTATCTGTGTAATGGCTGAAACGCATTTCGAAATAAGTTAGTGTCTTCTCTCTCATGAAAAATTTGCGAAAAATGCCAAGCACGGTTAGCATTGCGCACCATCGATATGTACACCTGTCATCTTATTTATCTGTCATCCATCACCCTCACCCTTCCACGACTCAATGGACGTATTACTCTTTTCCATATGGAATGACTATGAAGAACGATGCTAGCTGCAACAAAGTCAGTAGGCCTACTTTTACTCTTCAATAATCATAAGTATACAGTAGATATAATTATCTACTTCTTTCATCAATCTTCAGCTTTATACCATACTCGTGAAATATTCTTCAAATCTGATGCATGTAACTTAACTGCTTTTCTTTTTAATCGATTTTCCCTAAACCATGATAAATAATTCTTTAAAACAAAATCAGTGAAGTAATATTTCTGAAAAATGGGACCATTACTTTGAGTGCCCGTTTCTATTTTGGGTATTAGGCAATAGACTCTTGACATCACGCTTCTGATGCAATTAAACGTTAAACAAAATCTTATTTACTATGTTTTTGGATTATATTGTTTATTTATAGATTTGACTGTGCAAAACTGGGTAAAAACAGGGAGAAAACAGATTTTAAAAAAAGGTCACTGCTCCCGAACTAACAAGGATATCACAAAAAATTTTAAGTTCTGTGATCAGCAAGCCAAGCTCTTTCCTTTACCCTCAATTCCAAGGCCGTTGGACTTGGAGAAGTTTGAAAATTTCACAGAAGTGCCTACATTAACCATATATTATATATTATATATAGGAGCAGTGGGTTACAATTTGATAGCTGATCCCTTCAAAGACAATAAATAAAATGTTGATATTGACCTCGTGTGCTTTGGACTTGTGGGAGGTCATGCACAAAGTTTCACCACCTATGAACATGTTTGTTAACAGTAAAAAAATATTTTAAAATGTGACATGTACTGAATTGCAGTCATTTCTATAACGCCCATTTTTATGTTGGGGCAATCAATTTCTGCTGCCTTACTAGGTCCCAGCATTACAAAATTAAAATCTAGTTCAACACTGTACCCGTTTTTGTTTCAAATGACATAACACATATTTACTTCTTCCACTTCCACACAAAATGTACTTATTCTTAACTTTACAGGCACACATTCAGGTAAAAGTACGCGCTACCTTAACCCTGTAGCTCACCAGCATGTTTCAATTTCAATGTGTGGTGGTGTAAATCTAGCTGTAAAACAAGAGAACTAAAGTGCTTGGGTCTTGCAGAGGCTTGAAGAGTTAACCAGGGTACCTGATGGTGTCATGTGTTCCATTACAGCAGACTTCTCTTGAACTTGAGCACTTAATGCTGATGATCCTTGAGCCTGAATAACAAGATAAAATAATACAAGAACCTCTTTCTATTTAAATAATCACATACTTCACGTAAAGCAGATACACAGATTCCAACTTTAAAATGCATGGAGCAGTTTTGAAGCACACTATACCAGATTAGATCTACATGATGACGTAAACAGATATTACCAGTAAAAGGACTCAGGAGATCAAACAATAGTTTAAATTCACTGAAGGAGTGTACTTGAGATTCTTCCTGACTGTGAGTGTCACCAACCTGTGGTAACAAGTGACGATGGCAGTGTGGGCCATGAAAATGAAATGGGAAGTGGTGACAGAGGACAAGGTCAGCGAGCAAAGGTAAAGGTGTGTTGATGGACAAGGATCAAGCAGACGTAGTATGTGCAAAGAATAAGGATCTGGAGAAAATAGATGACAGAGGAAGTGAAAGGGAGTCAAGTCAGAGCTGCAGCATATGCAGAGAGTAGAATGCAGCACAAAGTTCTGGACAAGGTCACATTCAAGGTCACCAAATGTTGGGGATCGACCCCCACATTCAGCGGGAGAGAACAGACAAGCCTAGGTGATCCAAGGCAATGACAATAATATCGTGAGTATATAGCACCAGAGTGAACCAATTACAGTGAAACACGGATTCAACGAAAGGAGATGAATTGCAATATTCATATTATATATATATATATATATATATATATATATATATATGTACACACATGTATATTATAAGATCGTTGCATCCCTTTCCCCCTTTGTGAACCTACTTGAATGCACGGTCTTTGTCAACGCACGCTTAGGCTCTGCACACGTGTGACTATGTGTGCGTGTCGGGGAGGGGGGGGGCATCTGTAAGAGCGTGGAATGTCGCAGGTACAAACGCCCCACAGCCCCCCCCCCCCCCCCCACCCCAACCCCTCCCGACAACTGATCATTATTACAATGATAAGCTAGTCTTGACGTAGATCTACGTAATGAATTGTGCGCTGGTCTATGGAATAAAAAGTTGTCGAATGCTAGGCTCTTCACTGCGACACAACTTTTTGGCAAACAATCGAGATGACACAGGCATGCATTTGAAGTTAATTTGAACGAATCGGTCTTTTTCTTTTTTGCACAGCTTATAATATGCAGGCATTTCAGGCACCACTTGTTACTTCTCTTTATACATTACTTGCTCAGTGCCTGTAACTATCTACTCAAAAACTCGGGTTTGCTATTACGAACACTCGGATTCAACGAGATTTTATGTCACTGTCAGGCTCGGCGACCTCGTTGAATCCGAGTTCCACTATACAAAATAATAGATAGAAAATCTAGGGAGGTAAAAAAGAACATTAAAACAAATAACGGGGTCAGCTCCTTTGATGAACGTGTTGATGGTGTGAAAGCACTCCTACGTCGTTCCTTTCCACTCATTTCACTGGCTTACAGAAAGTTACGCCTCTTGCCATCCGCACCGCCCGCGTACCACAGCATGATTGCACACATGGTGAGCCAGTCATGTTGTGCGGTCAGCATTACTCCGCAATCCTCCTTTCCCGTCCCCTCTTCCTCTATCCTCTCGAGGTGAGAATAGGACCACGTTTTGGCTGTAACAATAACAAAGAAACACCTACCCGCCGCCAGAAAGGTTTAAAAGCCGGGTCTTTAGTTGAGAATATGAAGTGGATTTATTTGAGATACGAGTGTTGCGTGGTCCGAGTGTTTGGGAACTCCTTGAAGTCAATACGTTGGAATCCTGTAATAACGAGAGGGAGGGGACTGGTGAAAAATGTCCGTTATAGCAGGATTTTTGTTATAAAGGATCCAGTAATAAATTCAAGGGATATACAGTAGTCTTCGTCTAAACACACGGTGCTCGGGAGGTCTCCTTAGTGTGTGTTTATACGGAGAGTGCGTTTACATGAACCTGTGCAAACGGAGGAAGGAACGCAGTCTTCTCAATTCCTTGATATTCTAGTGACGTCCCTTGGGAGGGTGGGGGTCATTGGTCGATAATGTGATAAAACGTGACTGTTTTGTGAAGGATACCCTGACCGCGGTTAAGAAATACAAGGGCGTTGAATGGGTTGGGGGGGGGGGCAGAAAAACAGACTCGATGTAATCGGCGGGAACTGACTACAGACCGCCCATCCGACTCCGACCACGCTAGAGTAGACACGTGCCAACAATGCTGGTAGAAGCAATCGGCTAAGTGAATAATGGTTCACGATGCAGGTGCAATGGATGGTTTCCGGGAATAGATGAAGTTCGTTGCGGGAGAAAAATGAGTGAAGCCACGTCTGCGGGGGCTCTTCACCCTGGAAGCAACCTCGATGAATCCGAGCGTGCTCATTTAAATGTTCATTGAATCCAGGTTATTCTTATTGATCTTAAAAAACGAGGCATCCATCTCCTTTCGTTGAATCCGAGTTCTTAATTAATCCGAGCTCGTTGAATCCCGAGTTCCACTGTATTTGGGGCTTTCACGGACGTGACAAATTACGTAAATCTCGAACACTATTTCCAATCCCCGACGAATTCGAGCTACCCGTGTTTGACTGTTGTTTTTATTGCTACAGTGATGCCATACTCTTACTTCAAACCACAAACAGTGGAATTCGGAATCAACGAAGTCGTCGGGCCTGACCTTCAATTTCGTTGAATCCGAGAGTTCGTTATATAGCAAACATGAGGGTTTTATGGGAGATAAGGACAGACACCGAGCGAGTAATGTATAATGTATTCAACTTTCTCAATCGAAAGTATTTTGGTTTAAAATGAGAGACATTTCCGTTTCATTGACGTCATGCCAAAGAAATGCTGGACAATTCCAGGGACATACACTGAACTCTACCAAACACACATTTTACAAAAAGGCCAATTCGTTTAAAAGCATGCTTGTGTCAGGTATCATCTAAATGTGCTCTTTGCCGAAAAAGTTATGTTGCTTTGCAGAGCCTAGCAAAGCAAAGTTATATTCTACAGTCCAGCACGGAATTCATTACATAGATCTATGTCAAGACTAGCTTATCATTGCAACCTTGAGCAGTAGCTGGGGGAAAAACTGTCACACGTTTGTATCTTGACCTAAATTCCCCTGCCCCCAATCCCTCCCTCCCCGTCAGACACACACACACACACACACACACACACACACACACACACACACACACACATATATATATATAGAGAGAGTCATAAGTCGCATGTGTGTGTGATAACATGTGTTTTGGTATGAAAAGTGGAAGAGGGCCGAAGACTGGTCGCATAAGATAATAATCAATAGGCTTAGCGAATAATTGTTCACGATGCGTGTGCCATGGATGATTTCCAGGAATAGATAAAGTTCGTTGTGACAGATTTTAAAAATGAGTGAAGCCACATCAGTGTAGAGAAATTTGACCACTTGCGGCCACGAGAGAACAACCCCCGCTAGCATTGCTTCTGCGCGAAGAGGTTCCCAACTCGATTTTCGTGGAGAAAATAGCCTCAAGAAGGGCCCTGACCTGGCCAGGAATTTAAAGACTTCAATTACAGAGTGCAGTGGGTGTTGTCTGCACAACTTTGGCGTACCACTTTGTGGCCAGTTGCCCTGAGCGCAGCCGACAATTAGCCACAGATGCCGCCACCTGACCTAGGTGCGGCCGAACCAATGCCCGTTATGCCGCCAGGCCTTATACAAGCTCCAAACACTTGAAAATATGACAAACAATGAAGGAAATCAACAACAAACGCATAAGGTGCAATTCGAAAGATAATATATTCAACTTAAATGAAATTCAATAGACCCTAGATCAGAGCATGCAAACGAAATGGAAATCAATGCAAAAAGTGACCTTCAGAATTAAAGAATGGTACTTTCAACTTAAATGAGATTCATCTAGATCTACTTTTGATCAGAGCATTTAAACAAAATGGAAATCAATGACAACGTATGCAAAAGGTGCAATTTTAAAGATAGTAGATCTAGATCTATGTCTACTCTTGATCCGAGCAGAACGGACAAGTCACACGTCTCTGGTCTCGATCTCTGTGACCACAAAGAACATCTTCCACAAGGTACGATCTCCACTGCCACGCTGACCACGTGAACCCCCATCTCAGACATAGAATATTCTTTCTACTCCAACCACTGTTTTTTTGTTTCCATCTCCATCACTCTTACACATGTGTTCTCTTTCTGTTTCATCTGCTTCAACCACTTGTCGTTTGTTTCCTATGTCTCCATTGTCAGCAGCAGCAGCACTGTTTTTTTTTCTCTCCGTCTGTGGTCCGACTCTAGAGCCTTCATCACGTCCAAGTGTTTCACTGTCCATGTGTCGTCTTTGTGGAGTCTCATATCATCCCACAAGCCCCACTAGAGTAAACATGGATTCGTCAATAAAACTTTCTTCTTCCATGAAATCTTCCAACTGCAGGACATCACCATCAAACAGTACCATTTCACCTTCACTGAAATCTGCACTAAGTATTAAAGTCGGAATGGCTCAACCTCTTCTTGTATTTTCTTTCTTTACCTTTCGGCTTCTTTTCTTTTGCTTCTAGCTTTTGCTTCTTCTTTTTTCTCCTACTCCTTCTCTTTGGCTAGTTTCCTCTCTTCTTGCATCTTCTTTCTATTTTCTTTCTCCACTTGTACCTGCTTCTTTCGTTCCTCTCGCTGTTTTTCTCTTTCCACTCTCGTCTTCCTTTTCTCTTCTTCCATTCTGGCTCTCTCCACTTTTCCCATTTCCATCTCTGCTTCCTACTGATCTTTATCTCCTCCTCTTACTTCTGCATTCTCTCCCTGTTGATTAGAAAGTCAATAAATTCTTGCCCACAGATGAGTGATGGAAGCTTTTCCAGCGATTTTTTTCTCTTGCCGCCACCACTCACGTGTTGCAAAGTAGGAAGATCGAGGGGATCTTTCGGTCTCAGACTGACTTGGCCCCCTTCGGGTTCCTGTGGCTGTGAAGGTAGGACAATATTATGATTATGTCTCAACCGTGTGTAGATCGGGTCTTCAACATCGAAACCCTCTTCCAGCCTTGAGTAATAAAGAAGCACATTGGCGGCTCTGCGTTTCCCCATCCCTTCACTGACTGCTTGTAGAGCATTGTCAAGAGCTTCTTTTGTCCACTTCGGTTTCCCATTCATTTTGAAATCTGGGGACACACATTAATTTTAATAGATGCCACGCTTGAAATTTTTGCGTTGGCGTTTAACGTCTCTTTAACCCTATCCGTACGTTGTGTTTACTATCGTATCCATACGACGTGGGGAACTCTTTGCCACCACTTTCAAAGAGGAAATTTACCCGTTAATCCGATCTGTACGCTTTGTATAGCAGTCAGTCAAAATGATTTTTTGAAAAGTACTGAAATTTTCAAAGAGACCTCCGTAGTAGAAGTATTCTAAAATGTGAAGAATACAACCCCGGCGGTACAAATTTCACTGATGGTGCTACTAAGGAAAGTTAACGTGCTGCTACACCAGGATATGAAGTGTAACAGAACTTATTATCCCAACCACCTACAGTATACTGACACCGAGCCAACCATTCCTAGCACTAGTCCCACAATGTCGACACCAGGCGAGACAGCGGTTGCTAATTTTTAAAGTCTTTAGTATGACTAGTCTGAGAATCAAACCCACGACCCTCCGTTCCAGAGGCAGGTGTGTTACCACTCGGCCACTGAGGTCGGTGCCGGCTATGCTTTAAAAATCGTATTGTTTTGTTACCAGTAAATCTAGATATATGTTTATTAAGTTGACAAAAAGCTTTGTAAAACAGCCTACGTAGAACCAGAACAGGGTCTAGATTCTATTTCAAGACCTTAGCCTTCATTTGACCAGGGTTATCTATCATTTTGGACACTGGCCGTGGCCAGGACCTTGTCTGTAAAGTCTGTCCTCTGTGCAGCCAATTCGACCGCGTGTGGACCTACATGAAAATTTACCCTGCCCTGGCGACAGCCAAACACGTTTCTCCGATAGGTATAGTTTGAGTGATATTTGACCAATGTTAGGCTTTAAAACATGCATTTTAAAACACAGATACCACGTTTGGTCGAAAAAATAATAATATATTTAGGTTGTATTAAGAGTTCATCAAAAACTCACCTGGAATTTCACGAATGGATATTTTCTTTGTTGAAAGGTTCAAGCTCGCATCACGGGCGTTGGAACAGCGGGAAAGACCGGAAACGAAAATGAACGCACTGGCAGAACCAAAGGAAGCTACTGTGGTTTATTCAAAGCCTTACAGCAACTGGAATGCGAGTTATGAGAACTGGCCACACCACAGCAGTGGCCACGAGGGGGTCAACCTACTCTATGTGTTCAGTGAATCTTTTTATTGATTAATATGAAAGGTAAAAATGGGGAATCCAACTCCTTGCGTTGAATCCGAGTTTTCATTGAATATGAGTTCGTTGAATCTGAGTTCCAGTGTACTGTACTCGCTTGTTGAAAACAAGCCCTGGTCTGATATTTAAGTCTAAAAATTTCACAAACTACAAAAACCTGTAGCATGCTATGAATCATGAAATAAGCCATTAAAAAAAAATTTCAATAAAATTTTCACCTCATTACTTACTAGTGAAACTGGTTTTGACATTGGGAGACCTGCTACACACTGACTTTGAGGTGTGGAGAACATTCTTGTGAAAGGTCTTTGAACTGCTGTTCCTGAGTGAGTACTCTGCAGGAACCTGGATGGTGCTGGTGGCTGTGGGCATTGAAGATAATAGGCCCACTGAATTATATCACTATCAGAGCTGGGCTCTCCTGGTTTGATTGATTGATTGAGTAGGTGTTTTACGGCATTATCGACTCAATTTTGGTCATGTAAGTGCCAACAGGTTTTACTGCAAAAAATCTATCATGTTATGTTTTATTTTTTACTGCGCTCGCAACTGCAAACGGTCTTATCATCATCACATTAAAAAAAATTACAGACATTTATGAAAATCTTTGTAAAAATGGTAAAGACTCTTATTTACATTGGTATTTACAATATGAATTTCAGTGTATGTACACCGACAACGACAACTGTACATTTTTATACCCTATCAAACAATCCAAATTCTTTTATAAAACTCAAAATTTTTCTCGGACTAACGATGTCAAAAAGAGTTTTGACATCATTACATCTCAAGTATTTAATACGTATATCGTCGAAGTCGACACATTCCGCCGCGAAAAAAGGAGCTTCCTCTCCTTCAAGTAAATGTTTGTGGGTGACGTGCGTTTGTCCTATTCTTAATCTTGTGTAAACAACATTCTCTCTTCGTAAGAGAGACACTGGTTTCCTGGGCATAAGTTTCGATTGAATGTAATGGAGTTTGTTGTGTATTTGTTGGTTCCAAATTTGGGTTTCATGTCAGAGAAAGGGATTTTACTATGTTTGCTTTCAGGTACTGGCTTCTTTGCCATCAAAGCCTACATGGCTTGGAAGCCAAGCTATTGTAACAGTTTTTCCAGATTGATGTAAAAAAAATGAAGTTTAATTGGAAGTTTTAAAATTCTGTTGTCGGAGGTTCAGAGCGCTCTACAGAATTCAGACAAGAGAGAGAGAGTCTGAAAGGATTAGGAAAGTATAATAGACTTTGTAGATTTATCTATAATATTTAGGACCATTTCAAGAGCTGTAGCATCAGCAGTGTAGATTGAGGCTTCTGGGTAGAGTTTTCTTAAGCTTAAGTTGTGTGGCTGTGCAAGGGCATCAGCTCCTACTGAAGTGTCATTTTTGGATCCGTCGGTAAAACGTTTCTCTGCTTCAGAGGGTATCTGTTTATTAGCTGGTTGTATGAGTATAGGTATGTAGTTTTGTCCGTAGACATTTTGTTGTGTTTTTCAAGACTTGTATCTCTATGTTTGATTTGGTAAAACGCCATGGAGGTACGCTTGAAACGGCAAAGGGTTCCATTATGCCTTTAGACAAATCAACGTCTAGGAGATCGTTTGGGATTTTTATTCCGAAAGGGATTACCTAAGGAGGAAAGGGTTGTTTTTAGATCTTTGGATAAGGCCAAAGGCACATCTGTGGCCTGGGTTTTGAGGTACAGAGCTATGTTTCACAGCCTACTGCAAAGAGAGTTTTTTTTCCTTCTAAGTTCTAAAGATGGTTCGTAAGCTTCTGCCTGCAAACTGTCTACAGGTGAAGTACGGAAAGCGCCCACGGCAAGGCGAAGGCCTTGGTTCTGAACGGGGTCTAACATTCTACGGTAGGACTTCCTCGCTGATTCGTAAACAGGACTGGCATAGTCCATCCTGGAACGGACAAGGGAGCGGTAGAGTTGAAGAAGTATATCAGTATCACCTCCCCATTCGGGATTGGATAATATGTTTAAGGCGTTGAAAAGCACTCTGACCAAGACTTTCAAGTGTGGTAGGAAAGAAAGTTTGTTGTCGAAGATTACGCCCTGGAAACGAGATTGTTTTTTAACAGGAATTTTTTCCCAAAATACAAAGATAGGTCTGTTTGTCGCACACACATACAGGTAAAAATGAACACAATTCGTCTTTGCTGTAGAAAATTTAAACCTGTGCCCGCTTGCTCAATTTTCCAATTTATGAAGTTGAAGCTGAAGCTGACTTTCAATGTGATCTTTTTTTTTACTTTGATTTAGAGCAGATCAGGAAGTCTTCAACGTAAAGTGAGCCTTCATTATTGTTTTGAAGGGTTTTTGCGATGGAACTGATTTTGATTTTAAAAAGTACGGGTGATAAGATGCTTCTTGGTCCCTTCTCATCCCGTACTTACACGCTGTGAACTCACATAGGTTCACTGACCGGTCACGATGACGGGCCCGACAATCTAGAAATCGGAGGACGCTTGTTTTCTTTTTCTTCCTCTTTTGTCATTTTAGTGACATCAGTGAGAATATCGATTTAATTTGTATGGCGACACTATGTTTTTTATACACAAAATGCATGTTACAAATTTTTATTAACTGTAATCTAACGTTGACAAACTATCACCGGACACAGAGCGGTAACGAAAGCGAAAGTAGATTTTGATTTTTCCGATGGAGTCTCAGTATTACACCAATGCTTTCGCCTTCCGCCATAGCCGCTTATTCGCGTGAAACATACTCTCGGACTGGGGAAAGCCGAGCGTCATTTCACAAACTCGACCGGTCAAATATGAACTCAGTACCCTTTTCAGATTTGGTTTCGAGGGCTTTGTGAATTTCCTCGAGTCTCAGCAATTATTCTTTTCAGATTCCCAGGTAATAATTCCCGCAGTCCCCCTGCGTTGAATGCTCCTTTGGTACTCACCAATTCCCTAGACCAAGACCGAATTTAGAATGTTTTGCTTCGATACCGATTTTCTGTCTACACTCACAATTCACTCATAGAAAACTGCATCTCCCCTCGACGCTTAACGGCAACAGAGGATGAAAAAGTAAAAGTAAAGTAAGATTCACAGTTCTGTTTTCTAGATAAATGAATCAAATGCACAGATTTTCCAGCCGCAGCAAAAACCTGAAGATAGACAGAAAGAAAGAATGAATGAAAGGAAGGAGGAAGATTATCTATCGTGAGTAGACAGATTTTAGCCGATATGCACTTGAAAAACTTTTGACGACCGATCGGCACAGATAGACAATGGTCGAGTGTATGAAATGCGCAATCAGGCAGTTTCTAATACAACTTCTTGCCGAGAGTTGCCGTAAATATCTAACAAGTTACGGGGGCAAGAGCCAGCCTCCCTCCCTCCCTCCCTCCCTCTCTCTCTCTCTCTCTCTCTCTCTCTCTCTCTCTCTCTAACGCATTAAGTTGATATTATGATCCGTGGCAAGTACAGGACTTTCGGAATATACGGATTTCCGCAAAAACAAAGCAGAATGATATGGGTTGGTTTTTTTGTTTGTTTTTTTTCTCGCCACCCATCGCAAATTCGGTAGTTTTGACACCTTATCGGTATGGCGGTAGAACAGGCCCAAAATCGGTATCTACCGGAAAAATCGGTAGATATTAGGCAGGCCTGTCTACAAACAGGTGTCTAGAACAAAAAGTAAGGCACAGGAATTAACCATACTAAAGCAGAATAAATCTCAAGACATTGAGCTTTTAGTACATTAGTGCAATTGTTTGCTATTTGGAATGCGGAAGAAGTTATATAGATTAAAACGCAGAAAAAAATGCGAATTTCTTAACCGACACCAGCAAAGTCACTTCAGGGCTCATTAACCCCGTGACCCCGAGCCCAGGAGCTGCGAAAAGCTGCTGAGTCACGCTAACTAAAAGTAACAGAATTGGGTGAAAAGTGACACCGTGTGCCGGTCAAGATCGTTGTTGTCTCGGTTCATTCTGAAGTTGTTTGAAGTCTGTAGGCCTACTAACATAACATGTGGAATGTGCTGTGATGCAGTTTTAAGAGTACGCTGTTTTATAACATGACCTATTTCATAAGGAAAAGCAAGAAGGTTCAAAAGACCAGATATTTTACATATAATCGAAAAAGGGGTACCCGAAGAAATAAAAATTTAGTGCTTTTCGAGGTTTGAAAAAGGCATTTTTTTCAATTAGCACTATATTTCAATTTATCATCACACCAATGACAGAACCTGGTATCTGAGAATATCAATCTCAGCAATACAATCACCAGGACGGTACTCTAATTCTCCTCAATTGTCAAATATCACAACGCCAGAGCATCATTTTTACTTATATTTCAAGTTTAGAATCAATTTCTTCCACTGCACCTTCCTGCTGCCGCAGCCTTGCGGTAGATTATTTACTGGATGTTTTGAATCAAAATACATGTATAATAAACAATTATATTCTGTTTGTGGCCTGGTCCCTCTCGATATATAAGAAAGTTAGATAAAAGTGAACAGTCTTTAATTTCTTGCTTTGTTCTCTTTTCGCATTCATCTATTTATTCAGTCTTTTTGAATCAATGATTCTTTTACTGAAAATTACATACGTTACACTAGGTAGTAATCAAGCTGTCAGAATGATTATTCGACCATACAAAAATATATATGTATGTATGTGAAAGGAATAATTATTTGATGGTGAATGTAATGTGAAAAGAGTTGTACCTCTTTCATACGAGGTGGCAGAGTAACATGACTTGGAATCTCAATGACTGGTAAGGGCCTGGGCATTCTAACTGGAGTTTTTATTCTGGGTGGGCGGGGCACGCTTATGGCAGGCAGGCGTAAAGATGGAGGTTTGCAAGTGTCTTGCCCTTCACTTGTATGTGCACTCAGTATTGTGTTCGCCTGAAAATATGAAAAGAGCAACATTCATTAAAGAATAAGAGAAAATATAAAATGTGTCACAATGAGGCGGTAACAAAAGCAAAATTAGATGTTGATTTCCCTGATCGAGATTGTGCAGACTTCTGTTATTGCCACTTACTTTCCAGAAACCTACTCTCGAAACGGAGTAGGCCAATGAATACTACAATCACGCCCCCCAAATAAATGAACTTACTGAGCTTTTCAATATGGCTTTCAATGTTTTGAGAAAACAGCGACTTTCCTGAGTCTTTTAATCAAATCCCATGGGCACTACTGGACACTGGCGATTTTATTCAAATTCGCACGCATTCCTGGGGTCTCCAGGATTCCAAGGACTCGGCAGCCACCTTACAATACCATCCTCATTTAACCCTAGTTTTCTGGATGGGGGCCTCGCAGACCCCAACATGTATATTTCAGGCATTTTCGACAAAACTTTAGGTTCGATGTTATTTTCCTCCCAGGTATTCTTCAAACACCCTCTGATAAGCATGAATACGGTCTATGAAGTTATTTGGATAATTTGGAAGACAGTGATGAATATTTTCCTAGGACTACCCCCCTGAATCCTAAAGGGGGCCTCTCAGACCCCAAGGCATTTTTACTATAATAGGAAAGGCAGTTCTCTCCTGTCAAGTATGCACCATGATGGCAGCATCGACGGGGAGACCAGAAAAGCAGAAATCAACGACTTTTACAACAAAACAAAGGGTGGTGTGGACTCTCTGGACCAGATGGTCCATGCATACATGTTAAAGAGGCAGACCGTGAGATGGCCTCTGACCTTCTTCTTCAATCTGTTGGATGTTGCAGCTATTGCTGCTTACATCTGCTTCACTGCTCAAAATCCCCAGTGGAATATCCGCAAGAAACACAGGAGAAAAATCTTCCTCGAGATGTTGGGTGATGAGCTCTGCTTGCCATTAATA